GCTCCTAAATAAACTGCACTACCGCACTGAGAAAAGCACATTTGCCAACCTGGTTGAGCCGTGTGACGGATGTCTGGATTATTAGATGCAGCCCACATATATGTATTCCAGCTCTGCTGTCTCTCCACTGCTCGCTGCACAGTGAAAAGTCCTCACTCTGTGGCCTCATTTGTTACAAGGTTCACATTGCACTTTTTAGTTATAGTGCTTCCTTAAAGGAGAACTATGAGGGGGGGGAGGGGCTTTTCACTCACCTCATAGTTCTAGCCGACGTGTGACAAGGAGACTGTCACAGGTCGGCTCAGTAGATCGGGAGGTGAGCGAACACATACCGGCGTTCGCTCACCTCTCGATCCTGTCACGGCTGGATGCCCCTCTCCAAGCTGCCATCGCTGACTGGCGGAACGGACGGGGGAGGGGGCGGGTACAGCTGGCTCTGCCTCTAGATAGGCAGAGCCAGCTGTCACTCACGCAGCTGGGCGGATCCCGTCATCTAAGTCGTGATCCGCTCCGGCTGCGGCGTCTCAGTATACCGTGAGCTGTAGCTCCCTATATACTGAGCTTAGGGTGACGGGAGGACGCTAGTTTGTGTCCTCCCGTTAACCTAAGGAGAACTATGGGGAAAACCACTGACCCCATAGTTCTCCTTTAATGTGTCTGTGAAGGTTCTCATTCATCCAGGTGATGGTACAGATGTCAAAAATAAGTCAAGGCGACTGGACTTGCTGTATTTTTCTTCAAGACGTTTCACTTGTCATCCAACCAGCTTTCTCAATTCAGAATGACTTGTGCAAAAATTATCTGGGAATAAATATGGTGAATGTTGCTCCAATCCACAATAATCAATAATCTGTTAGTCGCAACCAGGTGTTGATTGCATTTGCATGATTGGAGTCTAGGAGGTGTTAAAGGAAAACTATGAGGTTAGGGCTTTTCCCCATAGTTCTCCTTAGGGTAACGGGAGGACACAAACTAGCGTCCTCAAGTCACCCTAAGCTCAGTATATAGGGAGCTACAGCTCGCGGTATACTGAGACGCCGCAGCCGGGACGGATCCCGACAATTATGTCTGGATCCACCCAGCTGCGTGAGTGACAGCGGTCTCTGCCTATCTAGAGGCAGAGCCTAGCTGTACCCGCCCCCTCCCCCGTCCGTTCCGCCAGTCAGCGCTGGAGGATCGGACAGGGGAGGAATCCCTGCAGGGAGCCGTGAGTGACAGTCACAGCTCTCTGCAGGGATAGATCGAGAAGTGAGCGAGCGCCTGTATGTGTTCTCTCACCTCGCGATCTACTGGGCCAACCTGTGACAGTTTCATTGTCACAGGTCGGCTCAGATTATGAGGCTGAGTGAAAATCACCCCCCTCATAGTTCTCCTTTAATAACCTGCCCAGAGAGAGGTGATAAAACAGCATTGTATGTGACAGACAATAGATGTCTCCCTCCCCCACCTCTATTCAAGCTTGGCTTCTCCATTATTACATAAATGGCCTCTTTTCAACCAGCCCTCCTCCCTGTCTGGGATGCGTACTTGACTGTCTTCCAAGGAGAGACCTTTTTCCTTTAGATGTAGGTACACTGGTGAATCCTGACCAGAGGGTTTGGCTCTTCTATGCTGTGCCATGTGTTGTGTAGCTGCTGTTTTGTATCACGGACATACAATTCTGAGCACTCCTCCCTGCACTGGACGGCATACACATGAACAACACCCCGGGCCAAGAGGGCCAATTTGCATCCCGCGATTCGTCCACGCAGTGCAAAGAAACAGGTTCCCTTTAATGTTGGGCCAAGAAGCTGCACATGCTCACCTTTACCCTAACCCCCTGTTGCTCCATTTGCCACCAGGAGCTTAGAAAGTGAATCCTGTGCAAGTTGGTAGTCTTGGTTTGCATAAGAAAAAAAGACGCCATTTTTTTTCAACAGAAATTATATATTATGTATTATGTAAAAATGAAAATTAATAATAATAATAATAATACTTGTGTTATGAGATTATTTGACATGCTAGCCGGGCTTGGAAGAGTTCTGCTTCAAATATTAATACAGTCTTGCAGCGTTGGTGTCTTTCTGTTAGTGCCAAAGGGATGTGTGAGTGTCACATGACGCTTCCTCCAGTAGACACCCGGAAATATCCGCTCACATTTGTGCATTCCCCTTTCACCGATGATAACGCGTTCACTGCGACTTTCCAGCTACGGAATGCGGTCACCACGCTGGAGTCTGCGGTCAGCCTAGGGACAGGTGAAGTTTCTGTCCTCGGCGATGTCAAAGGTCTGCCGGGTGTTGCCCGAGAAAGAGACGATTTGGGGTAAACAGACCATAGATCTTCTGCAAGGAGAACACAGGAGGACCAATCAGCAAAGGGTTCATTTGTTACTAAATTTTGGTTACCAAAACTTGTAGAAAATTCTGGACAGAGCGTGGAAAAGGAGGGAACATCTGCTGAATTTTTATTGCCGTCTATGTCCCCACCAGTGAGATTTGTGCCAATGCGTCTCCTATTACGGCATGAATGAAATTCAGGAGATTTGGTCTAAGTTTCACCAATTTGGCAAAGTGTATTGAAGTCAATGGAGAATGGTTGCCTCAGGCGGCATCTTATTGGGCCACGTGGGGGGCACACCGGCTGCCTCCTTTCCGACCAGAGCGTCCCAGGTTCCTATGCTCGGCTCGGCTGCTGTAAACAAAGCTAGCAGGGTCTTGTCCTGTATTAAAAAGGGGATGTATTGCAGGGACAAGTCTATAATTTTGCCACTTTATAGATCATTGGTTCGACCTCATCTGGAGTACGCGGTCCAGTTCTGGTCACCAGTACTAAGAAAAGATGTCCTTGAGTTGGAAAAAGTCCAGCGAAGGGCAACCAAACTAATTAGGGGTATGGAGGACCAGAGCTACGAGACGAGGCTACTAAATTTAAACATGTTCACATTGGAGGTGAGGAGATTAAGGGGGGATATGATTTCCATGTACAAAATGTTTAATGGTGGTAGCAACATTAGCGATAAACTGTTTAAAATTAACTCCGTTACAAAAACTAGAGGCCATCACCTAAAATTGGTGGAAAAAAAATTCCAGCACAAGGGGCGAAGGGGGTTCTTCACAGTAAGATCAGTTAGGGTCTGGAACTCACTGCCACAGGCGGCGATCTCAGCAAATAATGTGGAATTGTTCAAGAAACTTTTGGATGATTTCTTAAGGGACCGTAATATACAGGGGTACAGGTAACATACAGGGGTACAGGTACTCCTAGAATGAGATCCTAATAGGTTGGACTTGATGGACTAATGTCTTTATTCAACCTCAAATACTATGTAACCTGTGATGCTCTGGCCAGCATTTTGCCATGCTCACTGACATCACTGGTTTGCCAGGGACTGAGTGGGATGCTCTGGCTGGCATTCGGCACAGCTCCTGGCAGCAAATGAGGTCAATGAGCTGGGAAGGACACCGGGCAGAACCAGAATCAGAGGTACCATGCATCATCCACCTTTCGCCAATAACCAAC